TGCAAATGCCCATTAGTTTAACCAGATTCAATTCACATCTAAGTGAAAGCAAAAATGTGCATTATTCTTATTTGTTTTGAAAATTTGGAATGATGCTTTGAACATTCGTTTCTCTACCTATACACATTTTATCATTTGCTCTCTCATTTGAGCCTTTAAAAGAATAATTTCGTTTCAAATAAGCGCCTTGATGATTACTATCCTACATGAAAAATTTTTAAATATCAAAAGGGGGAATGGATTTTCAATGAGCATTGCATTACGTTGATTGTCATGGAGTGTAAGAATGATGCTTTGGCCATCATTTCTACAACTTAAACACTGTTTTATCCCTTGCATCCTCATTTGAGCAAAAAAAATTGGTGGTTCTTTTCGAATGCACATATGATCGCACCCCACATTGGGGAAGGAGATTGGGGAATTTTGAAAAAAGGAAAAAGGGTAAAAGCAAAAATAAAGAGGGAATCACGAATTGGAGAAATTTCCACTTGGGTTTCAATTTTGGAAAAAAGAAAAAAAAGAAAAAGAAAAAGAAAAAGAAAAAGAAAAGGAAAAGAAAAGGAAGAGATTTGTCCGCACGGACCGCCTATGTTTCACAAATATGGATGAACAAGGGTCTTCCTCAGTCAGTTAATTCAGATACATGCCAAAGATTTCCCATTAATGAAAGTTTCCTTTCAGAGTTATTGTAAGGAACGGAATACAAGTCAGGCCATCTTCTTTTTCCGATCAAGCATTCTATCCCTAGTTATCCCTTTTGAGCCTTCAGAATAAAATACTTCGTTTGGCAACCCCTGAGAATCGCAAACCCCACACTGGGGCAAGTTTGCAAAAGAAAGGAAAAACTTCAAGAAGTGAAAAAGTGAAAAGTCGCAAAATCAAAAGCAAAGGAAGAAAAGAGAACCTCAGTTTAAAAATAAACTGGGGCAAATTTTGTGAAAGTTCAAAGATGGCAGAATGCCGAAAAATCAAAAGAAGAAAGAAAATGAAAGAGGAAAAGCCTCAATTGAGCACAAGCTCTGGCAAATTCTGATTTAAATCTAAAAATAGGGTTGGTGCAACAATGCGATCTCAGATTTTTCAAACCGTTCTTGAAATCTGCCTTCAAGCCTTAACTTTTTTAAACACCCCACCAGACCCCATTACAAAAGCCGAAAGTCCTGACTTCTGTTCTTTGCAATGGCCTTGTCGAGAAAATTTCTGATGCTGAAAATTTTAGCTGTATTTCTGAATTACTCGGGTATGAGGAAACCCATCAGCTCGAAAAAAAGAGAGGCAAAAAGCGAAGCAAGAAAAATAAATGCAAAAATATATCGACTCTGAAATCCTTGGTGAATGATGAGAAAAATGCAAACAAAGTTTGAGATCTTTAAGTTCAAAATAGGGGCAATTTTTGGAAAAAGACGATCTATGGTGCAATATCCTTGAAAGTCTTATTCTTTAACTATCGTTTTCAAGCCACATTACAAGCCAATAAAGTCCATCGTTGACTTATTCCTTCATGACAATCCAAAGTGAGGATCATGCTCGTAAGAAATTCATCAAATCATTTGTGATCATAAGGGTATAACCCGTTTCCACATGTTTAGCTATCACTTCTGCCCATACGTTGCATGCCTAGAAAGCTTGTATGTTGACTAAGTTTTCTTGAAAAATAAGGGTGACAAACTCTTTGCTTTCACTAAGATGTGGCATTGAAGGAATTACAAATTTGGGCACAAGAACCAAACAAATCTCGTCTTCTCATTTCCCTTAACCCCCTCAAAAATCAGATCACTTGATTGGTCCTGACAGATGAACCAACAAGAAATGGTGACCCATTACCTAAAGCGTTGATGCTAAAGTGGGGAAGAAATCTTTCGTAATTTGGCATTATTTTGAGAAATTCATCATGGAATGTGTTATATCAGTTTAAGCAAGACATTCAATTTTCTTCATGTTAGGAAAAGCAATTGCTTACCCTGTGCAAATAAATGGAGAAGCATCCAAACCAATTTTTGCAATCAAATGGGCCCACACTGGGGCAAAATTTTTATTTGCGAAGTTTCGCAAAATAAGCTCACACAGGGGCAAATATTTTTGTTAGTCCAATTGAGAATTTCGTCCAAGAATCAAATAATGCATCTTTCAAATCAATCACGCTGCTCTTTTCATGTAAATGTGAATGCATGTCATATTTCGGTAAGCCCCTGTGCAGGTATTCATTGTTGAAATCGACGAAAAAGCATCTGGTGACGTGGAAGGCCGATGCCGAAGAAAGAGAAAAAGAAGGGAAAAGGGCCCTACACTGAGGGGCAAATTATTTTGAAAAAGATTCTCTCGAAAAATCAGGAAAAATTCAAAATTCAAAAATCAAAAATCAAGTTCAAATTCTTGTTTCTTGGAAAATCAGATTTCTTGTTCCTTGACAAATCAAATTCAATTTCTTGACCAATTGGGTGGCAGGACCGGGTTTTATCCCACTGACCGCTTTTATTTTCGTTGGGAATGGGTTTTATCCCTCCGACCTCGGCAGGCTCGGGTTTTATCCCACTGACCGCTTTTATTTTCGTAGGGCACGGGTTTTATCCCTCCGATCTCGGCAGGCTCGGGTTTTATCCCACTGACCGCTTTTATTTTCATAGGGCACGGGTTTTATCCCTCCGACCTCGGCAGGCTCGGGTTTTATCCCACTGACCGCTTTTATCACGTTGGAACTGGGTTTTATCCCGCCAACCTCGGCAGGCTCGGGTTTTATCCCACTGACCACTTTATTTTCATTGGGCATGGGTTTTATCCCTCCAATTCTCTCGGCAGGCTCGGGTTTTATCCCACTGACCGCTTTTATTTTCGTTGGGCATGGGTTTTATCCCTCCGACCTCGGCAGGCCGGGTTTTATCCCGCTGACCGCTTTTATCAATTGGGACCGGGTTTCATCCCGCCAATCTCGGCAGGACCGGGTTTTATCCCGCTGACCGTGCTTTATACCACTGACCGATTCCCACTGACCAATTCATCATACTGGGGCAAATTATCTTTGGAAAGTTTCTCAAAAAAAAAAAATCAAAATCAAAAAATCAAAAAATCAAAAAATCAAAAAATCAAAAAAATCAAAAAAATCAAAAATCAAAAAAAAAAAAAAGAAAAAAGGAAAAGGAAAATCAAAAATCAAATCAAGTTCATCACGGCAGGTTCGGGTTTGATCCCACTGTCCGATTGTCAAGACATTTCATTTTCACAACCACTGGAACGTGAATCAGTCCCATTAACACTTCATTTCACTCCTTTCATTTGCATCACCAATAAACATGAGTCAATCCCACCAACACTCCATCTCACTTCAATTCATCCGTTTTAAATTCTGTTCGGGTCAGCCCCGTTTAATTTCTGTTCGGGTCAGTCCCGTTTAAATTTCTGTTCGGGTCAGTCCCGTTTAAATTCTGTTCGGTCAGTCCGTTTAATTTCTGTTCGGTCAGTCCCGTAAAATTTCTGTTCGGGTAGTCCGTTTTAATTTCTGTTCGGTCAGTCCCGTTTTAATTCTGTTCGGGTCAGTCCCGTTTAAATTTCTGTTCGGGTCAGTCCCGTTTTAATTTCTGTTCGGGTCAGTCCCGTTTAAATTTCTGTTCGGGTCAGTCCCGTTTAAATCCTTTGCGGGTCAGTCCCGTTTAAATTTCGTTCGGGTCAGTCCCGTTTAAATTCCTGTTCGGGTCAGTCCCGTTTTAATTCTGGTTCGGGTCAGTCCCGTTTAAATCCAGTTCGGGTCAGTCCCGTTTAAATTCTGGTTCGGGTCAGTCCCGTTTAAATTTCTGTTCAGGTCAGTCCCGTTTAATTTATGTTCGGGTCAGTCCCGTTTTAAATTTCTGTTCGGGTCAGTCCCGTTTAAATTTTCGTTCGGGTCAGTCCCGTTTAATTCCTGTTCGGGCCAGTCCCATCTTTAATTTTTGTTCGGGTCAGTCCCGTTTTAAATTCCAGTTCGGGTCAGTCCCGTTTTAAATTCTGTTCGGGTCAGTCCCGTTTAAAATTCTTGTTCGGGTCAGTCCCGTTTAAATTCTGTTCGGGTCAGTCCCGTTTAAATTCTGTTCGGGTCAGTCCCGTTTAAATTTCTGTTCGGGTCCCGTTTAAAATTCCAGTTCGGGTCAGTCCCGTTTTAATTCTGGTTCGGGTCAGTCCCGTTTAAATTTCTGTTCGGGTCAGTCCCGTTTAATTTCTGTTCGGGTCAGTCCCGTTTTAAATTCTTGTTCGGGTCAGTCCCGTTTAAATTCTGTTCGGGTCAGTCCCGTTTAATTCCTGTTCGGGCCAGTCCCATTTTTAATTTTTGTTCGGGTCGGTCCCGCTTTTAATTTCCTGATCTAAATCAATTACACTTTAAGTTTTGTCAAGAGGGGTCAGTCCCCATTTCTAAAAACGTCCACCGTTCATGACGTTCGCCACCAGATAAAGCAGGTAGGTATTTGGTGTCTATTTCTTTGTCTCAAGTTTTTTCAAAACTCAGACAAAGAGGGGCAAACTGTAGACACCAAATTTTGAATTAATGCTTTGTGTTTAGATGATTTGCGTTTTAGTTCATTATGTGTTTGTCTAGCCCTTTTAGGTTTTATTTTATTTTAGTTTTATTCCCTTTTTAGTTTTTAGTTGTTTTTGTAGTTTTTATTTTGTAAGTTTAGCGTAGAATTTTTAGAGAAAAAGAAAAAAAAGGAAAAGTGAAAAATGAAAAAAGGGGAAAAAGAAAATCATGAAAAAGAGAAAAAAAGGAAAATTGTTCACAAAAATACGTTCAAATTCAATCTTTTGGCATTTCGGTTTATTTTTGTTAATTTATTTTTGAAAAAATGGAAAATGATGAAAAATGGAAAAATGAAAGAAAAGGTCGAAAATGGTAATTTTGTTATTTTTAGTTTGTTTATTTTACTATTATTTTTGTTAAATCATTAATTTAAAAAAAAAAAAAAAAAAGAAAAAAGAAAAGAGAAGCCAAAAGCTGCATTTTTGCCGCAGCTTGCAAATGAAAGTTGCGAGAGGTCCTGGGGGAAATTTTTGGCTGAAGAGGCCAGGTGTCTAGGACACCTGGAGGAGAGGATGAATCTAGAAGGGGTCGGCTAGGTTTTAGCTGAGAAGGAGATTGAGAGAGGGTAAGAAGAAAAAAGGCCGAGAGTGGTGTCGAAAGAGCAAAAACAGAGGATAGGAAAAAACAGCAGGGGAGGCTTACGGCGGCTAAATTTTTTTGGGCGGACATAGAAATACAGGGGATGTCTGCGGAGGCTTTTGGGCGAAGAAAAAAAACAAAGAAAGAACGAGGGGAACGGAGAGAAGAAAAAGAACCGAGAAAGCTCTCGGCTAAGAAGGAGAGCTAAAAAAAGCAAAAAAGAAAAGAGAAACCAGAGAAAAAGAGGGGCGGCGGACAAGGAACTTCATGGGAAGAAAAGGGGAGCTTCGTGAAGGCGAAAAATGCAAGGCTGCAATCTGGGGAGGAAGAAACCAGAAAACTAATCGGAAAAAGAAATGGGGGGCTTAAACTTGAATCATCCGATGAAAGAAAATTCTCCAACCACCACTGTAAAATTCCCCCCTATCTCAACCGGCTGCTACCACTCGCTCTCTACCATCCTTCTTCGAATTCCCCCAATTTCCCAAGATAATTCCCGTTTCCAACGCAAGCCCTTCACGCTGTCTGCTCAAACCACCACTAGTCCGCATCTCACTGCCATTGCTGTCTGCCATCACTACTTTCTACCGCCCCGCCGCCACCTTTCAACTTCCGCTGCCATTGTTGCCATCGCAACCGTCGGAATAGCAGGGGTTCTCTCTGCCCCTTTACAAAACCGACTGCCCATCCAACACTTCCACCGCTTGCCCAAGAACCGGAGCCTCCCCTTCGCTTGAACCCGCCGCTGCTGTCCATGAATTGTCGCCGTAAGAAACCGTTGTAAGGAATTGTGGCTGAAATTTGGAATCTGGAGGAGGAATTTCAGGCAGAAAAATGGGGCGGAGGAATTGCTGATTGCCGTAGCGCTGGAACCCACCACCTTACCGTCAATCCTTCACTGCCACCAGCAGATTTTCACCCAGGAAATGAGGTAAGCCAGCCTTCTATGTTCGATTTATTTTTTTTTCTGAGTCTTTAAGACTTTCAAAGCAGAGAGTTATTGTTGCATTTTTCTCATTGATTATTTACAATTTCGGGCATGAATGCTCTCTGGATTCATTGGGTTGTGTTGTCTTGAGTTGCTAATAAAAATTTTGGGCGGGTTATAGATTCATTCGAGCAGAAACTAGCTACAATTTTGTGTGCCCGTTTGGTATTCGATGAAATACCCGACTGAATGTTATGCCCGGAAAATGACTGGTCTGCGTTTGTGCATGTGAAGAAACAAATGGACAGCAATTTCAATGCTTTTCAGAACATAATAGTTGATTTCAAGGGTAGAAAGAAGAATTTTGATCCTGATATGTTAGCATGCGACACTGTCTTTGTTTTCCGTTTCTGGTTCTGCCTTTTCCCTTTGTATGGATATGAATTAATGGCCTGAAATTTGTATAAGAGGGAGCTTGCGAATTGCACCTTGGAGAGTTGTCGGAATAGAATTTTCTGGTATTCACGCGTAGACAAAGCAAGATGAAAACAGCCGGATGCTGGGACTTGTTTTGGAGAAGACGATTGTTTGTACAAATTCTGCGATTTCAGTCCCCCCATTTCCCATTTCTTTGTAATTTAACCCCAAAGAAGTCTCGGAACTTCATATTTGCCCCCCAAAGCTATTGTAATTCCTTCAATTGGATCCCTGTTTTGTTGCATATGAACCCCTCGAGTTCCCCCCTGTTCTGATGTGACCCCAAAAATTGGAAAAGCTGAACTAATTTCATTCTTTTGAGCTTAGTCCTCTGTTTGCATATTTTATATGGTTTTCTGGACAGATTAATTCTGGAATTTAGACCATAATTGTGGTTTAATATTTTTGTTGATTTGTTCATGTTTATTAGGTTTAGTATTATGGTTTAAGTTTTGTGGGTAATTCTATTTGATTGGGTTTGTAAAAATGGATTTAGTTTATTTCTTTTGGAGTTTTGGCTTGGGCTAAAGAATCAAAGCCCATCAGGTTTGTTGGATTTTTCTTTGAGTCAATTTAATGAAATGGCCCATTCTCTTTTGTTTTGGATGTCCGTTGGGCTGGGAAGCTTTGGCCCAAACAAATAAAGGAAATGGCCCAACGGTTTGATCCATTAAGAAACCAGAAAACTATTTTGCAGATCAGTCCCTGTATTTTCCTTTAACTTTACTGTGGTCCTGGATATTTTCAACTACTTTCAATTCGGTCCTTAATTTAATTGCAATTGGGTCCCTTAACTTTATTTTTCTTTAATTTTGACCCCAAGACTTTATTAATTTTTGCAATCAAGTCCTTTTTTCTTTTGACTTCTTAAATGTGGGTCGTTGGCATGATTTAATTGGTTCAAATTCATGTTTATTTTTTATCCTTTGTGATTATTTGCCAAATAAATTGGTACCTTGACTCCTTTATTATTTTGGAGGGTAAATAAGTTGATTTCACTCCATTAGAGCTTCATTTCAAGGGAGGTATAATTTCTTTTATCCCTTTTGTCTCTCCTATGTGATCCAATGTGCTAAGTGTGAATCACATGCCTAATTTGCTTTCATTACCATTCTTTAGTTCCATTATTTCATTCCTTCTTGCTTTTATTAAATTGTTCTTTAAAATGGGGTATGTGTACACCTCTTGGCTTGTAATAGATAGGGCTGTGGCAAGCAATTTGGTCCATTTTCCCTTTCCCCTTTTGTTTTAGTTAGTGAATGTAGTAAGTTCATTAGCTTGGTTGCATGCCTATGTGTTACTTGTTACTTGCTTTATTAGGGCCTTGCATCTAGTCGAGCCTGCTAAATGTTACGTGCTACGTGTTTATGAGTATTTGATATGTCTACTTGCTTTCCATAGTGTGGATGAATGGAATGGATGAATGTACGTCACCACACTAGTCCAACGCTAGTTGTGGCTTCTTTTATCGTTTCCACTAGTCCAACGCTAGTCGGAATTCATAGAATGGGCTAGTCCAACGCTAGACCCTTAGGGTTTTTTTTCTTGTTAGTGCATCATTTGCTTGTTCACCACATATCACGCATTTTCCTTAGTTTTATCATTTGGCATGATCCTCGAACCCCTTTTCCCTCCATTTTAGGATTTTTGCATTTCATGCTAGTTATAGGGTTCATTTGCTTGAGAGTCCCCTTAAATATGGGATATAGACGAGTGTGGCTTTTTCTAAGCCTTAGCACGCTTGTATTCTCTCTATCAAAGGGCAAATGGAGTCACGATTTAGGTCTCCCCGTACCCATTATGCATGAATTCCCTAGGTTCATGCATCCACTCTATCATTACACTTTCATTTTTTCCTCCCATTTGCACACGTACACCTTTTATCCCTTCATTTGCACACAAACACTTGGATTTTTCATACAATTTCACACATGCACCTTTTCATACACTTGCACACAAACACTTGGATTTTTCATACAATTTCACACGTTCACCTTTTTATACACTTGCACACTTGCACTTTAGCCATCATTTGCATTAATCGACCTCTATAAGGCTTTCCTTTATTGGCCGCCACAATTCATGTGGTTGGGACCAAAAACCTTACAAGAGACATTTTAGAATTTAGGTTTGCATTTTTTCCTTCTTTTTGCATTCATGTAGTGCATCCAAATGTAATAAATTCTTTGGTTAAAACAAGAAAATCTTGGATTAAATCATGCAACTAGCCTTGGCTAGGTCAAAGGGGTGCCTTGGATTTTATCCTTGCCTTCCCCTTTGTCAAATGTGACTCCCGAACCTTTTTCATTGGTTTACGTAGATTAGGAGTCGTTTAAAAAGGGTTTCTCACTACTTTTTCCTATTTTTCTTTAAAAATACATTTTTTAGGTGACTTGGTACACCTTAACTCATTATCAAGTGGCGACTCCGTATTTAGTTTTAAAAACCCTTTTTAAACTATAATTTTGGGTCAAATCGTCGCATTCTCAAAACCCCATTTAGACTCATTTTTCTTTTAAATCACGATTCATTTTCCAATCACAAAAATACATTTTTAAACAATTCATTTATTTATCAAAAAATGGGGCGCGACAAGTAGTATTCAAGTTACTTATCAAACTCTAGAAAATTCATGCTCGCTCTTTTGGTGTTACTAAAGAAGAAACTAAAACTTTGGAATTCGCATTTAAGTCCAAAAGACGAGGAAAACATATTCCGAGTGGTCACTACTTTCATTTTTCCAAGGGTACGAGTTTCGACCAAATTCCAGCTTATATACCTCTATAAAAGAGGACTCAAATAACCTAGACAATTCGAGTTCAATTCTACCTCAGCTCTTTGCTCGAACCACAAGTACACACGTCTAGTCCTCGAGTGAAAATTTGGGCGGCATGCCCTTTGTATTTAGCTATTTTTCCAGCCATTTATGGCTTCATTGCTTTTCTCAATTCAGCCCCAAAATCACACACAAGTAATGTTACTAACATAGCCCTTCAATTAGGCTCCAAAATCATCCAATTACAACACAAGTCTAATAATACAATCGGAAATCAGTTTTGTAGACAAAAAGCTAAACAGCAGATTTGACATCTTATAGCATTTTGGTCACAAATGGAGCTACGTTTATCGTATTGGGGTTCACCTTATACTGTTTTGAAGCTAAGATAGAGGGTTACAACTTTCATGAAGATAACTTAACCCAGTTCATAGTTGATCTAGGTCGAATTTGCAAATTACAGAACCAGAAATTCATGGTCAGTCTGGTTGTCAGTACTGAATTCAAATGGCAATAACTCAAGCTACACAATTCCGATTGAGGCATTTTTACATGCGTTGGAAAGCTGAAACATAGGGTTAAAACTTTCATGTTTTGGCCAAACGCTGATTTGATATGGATCAAAGTGAAAAATGAAGCCAAACATGTGAAATCTCAAAACTGCCCACTGAAATGTACATTTGGCAGTCAGGGGTATTTAGATCATTTCATATGCTACAGTGCTCTGATTAAATTGAAAGTTTGTAGGAATCTATAAAACACCATTTCCTACAAATTTCATGTTTTGACGTAAGCCTGATTCAGCTTCTAACATGGGCGAATAGTGCTGGTCAGAAGCAGGGCAGTTCAATGCTTAAAACTGGAATTTAATGCATTCAAGGTATAAACTTCTTATTCATGTCTTGAACCACTACTCCAACTTCCCTATCTAAGCTTATTCACATCATATTCTATATAATCAACAAGAAACACAACTCAAACAACTCAAACCCTAGCTCAAAAATCTACCATAAGCATCAAAACTACTTAAATAACTATCATTAGTTAAGAATATGAGTTGCTATACAAACTTAAACAAGATTAAGGGTAAGAAAATGGAAAAATAGCCTTAATACCTTGCGAAAGATGCTTTCAAGAGAAACCTCAACCTTTCCTTCCAAACTTTTAGTACATCAAGCTCCCCAAGTTCCCAAATAAGTATTTAATCGGTTTGGATTTTGGATTTTCACTCAAACTAAGCTAAAACTCAAGATGGAAATGAAGTGTTCTTTACTCTTTTCTTTTTCCTCTCATAAGTCACGACCAAGATGAAGCAAAATGAAGAAAAATTAGCCAAGAAGAAAGATAAGAAGAAAGGAAAATGTCTTGGTCAAAGGTCTTGGTCAAGACCTTGGTTGGATTTTTGACAAATGGCTTAATTACAAATATTTCCATCAAAATATCTCTCTTTTCTTAGTCAATAATGGTGGCTGACTTAAGGGTTAATTAAGAGCTAATTAACTCAACTAAAACAAGGAGATTAAGGTAATAAAGTGGTGTATTCCATCGGTAGCGAACGATACCCATCGGTTCAAACCAATTTTTCTTAAATTGCGTGTACTAGGGTTTTATCGTATGATTAACTAACTTATTATTTTCACTTCTAATTACACACTTAATATCATCTAAAACTCACCCTTAATCACTAAATTTAATACACACTCCATACCGAATAATCACACTACCAAAAGACGTAAAAATCCTAGTTTACCTTAATGATGGAAGTAAAGAGAAAACCCTTAGTTCTATGATTAATTGTAACTATTGAGGAAGTGAATGAGTAGTAAAGCTATTATAAAATAATGGTTTCCAAATAAAAGGAAATTTTTAAGAAAATATGAGAGATTTTACAAGTCCTCTCACAATCACACTACCAAAATGCACACAAAAAACACACACCAAAACCCTAGTATGCACAAAACCCTAACTTATGCCCTTCCTTTAGAAAAATCATAACTTGAGTTATAAATATAAAAAATTCATACAACTTGACTTGTTAAAACTAGACTTCAAATACTAATAATCTTTAGAAGACACCTCAAAGAGATTTATTTCATAAGTTGGTCCAAATTGAGCAATAAGCTACTACAACATTCCTATTGTGAGAACCCAAATATTTTCACATTTTCTTAGCATTATTTTATTTCTTTGCTTCCATTTTATATTTCCTTTAATATGTTAATTTCCTATATATTTTTATAAGTGAAAATAGTTTTTAAATCATTTTCCTAGTATAAGTTAGTGTACGTTAAATTTGAAATGCATTATAGACGTGGGACCCGCTAGTGCGATAAAATTTTGGTGATTAAGTGATTTTTGTGCTAAGTATTATTATTTTACAAGGTGCTAGGTGATAATTAGGGATTAGTTTGGAAGATTAGTGTTGGACGACAATAAGATAAGGATTAATCTTGGCTAACGACTTGTCTTAAATTTATTGGACCTTTGACTTGGACCAAGGACTTTCTTACCTCTTGAATAAAATCAAAATTTGACCAACATTTTCTTCATTTTGAGCTTCCCTTGGCCGACCCTCTTGAGGAGAAAAACAAGGTGAGAAACGTCAATTTCTACTTCACTTT